CATTCATTCATTCATTCATTCATTCATTCATTCATTCATTCACTGATTTAGTTCTGTGTACTCAGCTCCATGGAAGAAGAGATCACAGCTTTCAAGGGCTCTTGAGCTAGACTTGCCCAACATTTTTGTTGCCTGTACCTGGACAGCAGACCTGAAAGTTTAAATCTGAACTTCAAAAACAAAGACCTCCAGCTGCTAATTTCACACCTCCCTTACTGCAGAACAGGGAACAAGCTCTCACACACCTACAATGCTGGTTTGTTTTTTATGAAAGTTGTCTTTAAATGTTTGGTTGTGCTGTAAAAAAGACTGTGGTCACCACCTGGTTATTATTAGTCAAATCAGGACTGAGACGGTTTACAGCAGCGGGGGGATGGCAAAAATATGGGGGTCTGAAGCTTAAACTCAGGAACTGATGGCCTGGGTTCAAACACTGACTCTATTAGCTATGTAACCACAAGGAAGTCATTACACTCTTGACCTTGTCTATAAAATCATGCATATGTGTAGTTCCTCAGCTGGATGCTATAGACTGTGGTGGCACTGGTCCCTCCATCAGCAGTGTTTACAATTCCACAGGTGTTAAGCTGACACTGAACCACTCCACGCTACTCTGAAACATGAACTGAGTCCACATGAAAAAAGCCACCTCCCCAGAGGCCTCTGAAGAAGCTTTATCATTCAGGGGTTCCTGGTTCTCCTCCAAACATGGAGGACAGAAAGATGCATGCAGGGAGCAGAGGAAACATACCAGAAAATAGTCAAACAGTGTGGACGTGTGTGAAGGATGTATTATAGACCCCATGTTACCCCAATTCTGGACATGTCAGGAATAGCTGTTAGCCTACTCTACTGAATCAACCCTCTCCTTTAAAGAGAAGGGTCTCCCTGGTCAACAAGACCTGTTACCCTCTAGGGGGGCCGTTTACTTCTTAAACAGGTTCCATCAAATGAGATCAGCATGAGAAGGAGCTCTAGAAAACAAAACACTATCTAAACACATAGGTCTTCCTATTCTCATTATCCCCCACCCCAACACACACATACCACACAGACACCAAACCTGATTACTTTGGTCCTTAAGACCTTGTTAGGCATTTCTATCTTCCTTCCAGTCGCCTCCCTCCCAGTGCTATCCTTGGAATAGATGTGCTTGGCTTCAGCCTTTAGAACCCTCTGTGTAGCGCTTCCTTTCCCCACAATCTTTCAGTATGTGTCCCTCTCATCCTTTATGACGCCCCTCAGCTGTGATCGTTCTGCAGGGTCTTTGCTGCTCTTGGAGAAGGTCCCTGCTTTGCAGGAAGTGGTCTGTACTACAGACTGCTGTGCTACGATTTCGACACTGCTAGCTGGCTGCCACCTGGAAGGCAGGGATCCTGCCGTCTCATTTTCCTTTGCATGCTCTCTCAAATAATTATCCCAGACACAGGGGGTGCTCGGGTACCGCTCACTAAATAAAGTGAAAAATGAAACGCAGAGCTGTTTCCCTTAACCACATGTCCCCACTCTCCAGTAAGAGCTGCCCAATACCTTCACTCTGGCAGCCCGCTGTCACCAGCAGACTTGAGACCCATCCAGTTGCTAAACACTGAGTCTAGTTCCGCCACAAATGCCCAGTGACTCCTGTAGACTCAGTGGCTCTCCCTTTCTGCACAGGACTGTGGATCCTGTGCAGACCGACTTGGCTACCTGTTGCCTACTAACTGTTGCCTACTAACTGCTGCCTGCTATCTAACTGCTGCCTACCTAACTGTGACCCTGACTTGACTACCTAACTGTTGCCTACTTTCATGTTGGACTTTTGTCTTCAAAAACTCAAGTCCCTGGAAGGGAAAATCAGAGAAGCTGGAAGAAATAAAGGAAAAAGAGAAGAGAAAGGCACGCAGAAGATATTTACCAAACACTCTACCATCCCTCGCACAGAACTCTCCCTTGCTTCCATTCAGAAAATGAACTGTCATTTAAGACTGTGGAACACAGGGGCTCCTGTGGAATTTTGGCTATCTGGTACTTGTTATCCCCATTCTAAAAGCACCGAAGTTGACTGAGGGAAATGCTTCTCCCCAGCTGTGTGTGGGGTCACTTTGGGTGCTGTTTTCCTCCTAGGAGAATGAAGGGAAAGACTCTGTCCCCAGGACAGGGTACCTCAGTGGAACTGAGGGTGTGTTGGTCAATGCCACAAGCCCACAGAGTCTGCTGTGGTTTCTGTCATCCTATCTCTGGAGCAGTTGTGGGTCTTCAGCTGTGTGAGCCCCCTCAAGGCCTCTTGAAGTTGGCCAGAGTCCATTGCTAAGAAACACTGTAATACAGTGTAGAACACCTCTGTATTCAACCCTGGCTGCAACAGAATCCCTGAAAGAGCTCGTAAAATTTCTATAACCAGGCCATACCCCAGGCAACTAAACCAGACCTTGACAGTTGAGCTGGATCATCAACATTTTGTCCTGGTCCCCAGAGAATTCTAACATGCAGCCAAGACCCAGAGCCATTACACTTAAAAACAAAACAAAACAAACAAACCCAGGAAGTAGGTATTTGGTATGTGAGCTCCACACATACATTTTTGCTCTAGCCCTACATATATAGTCAATTCTCATTATTCACAACAGTTCTATGAAATCATTGTACACACTCAATTAGTGAATACTGAAAACAACACTCAGGAGAAATACAGGGTTAGGTTCCTACAAACCACCGGTCACGTTTCACCAAGAGATCAATATATAACCTTGTTTTATATGTGGTTGTAAAAGAAAGCTTAGCTAATACATATTGTTGGTTCATTAACATTGAACCCACGGTCGGTCAACAGCTCATGACCGAATGAAGCAATCAAAGGCACGTATTCTCTCCCTAAGGCACGTGACAGTCTCCTGCGCTTAGGAGCTCTTTAGGAGAGTTCTTTAGTAAGACACTTGGGGGTCATCATAAACAATGAAACCCTAACAAGCATCACAGAAATGCAAAACTATGACACTACAGAAACTGCAAAATGGACAGCTTGTTTACCTTGGGACTGCAGGAGCATGAAGACAAGCACAGCCTTATTTCACCCACACTGGGAATGTGCATGCTGTGTTAGCCGACTCAAAGTTTTTGCACCTGTATGCAAATGGTGGCAACCACAAGAGCCAGGTATTAATTTGAGGTTACAAATCAATTTTAGTAAGAAATTCCCAAAAAGGAAATCTACAAATAGTAATGAATGAATGAATTAGGGTGAACCTGAATGTCAGCTCAATTAGGGCCAAGATATGTGTGTGTGTGTGTGTGTGTGTGTGTGTGTGTGTGTGTGTGTGTGCACGTGCGTATGCGTGCAGGTACACGTGTGGAAGGCAGAGGACTTATCTGCAGTTGATTCCTTCCTCCTTGTTTTCGAGGCAGAGTCTCTCTTGTTTCTGCTGCTTATGTGAACTTCTGATTCTCCCTTCTCCCCTCCCACCTTCCCATAAGAATGCTAAAATTACAGATGTGAGTCACCAAATCCAGTGTTTACACCATGGATTCTAGGGACCAAACTCTGGTCGTAAGGCTTCTGCAGCAAGCATCTTAACCTGCTCAGCCACTTCACCATCCCTCGAGATTGGTTGGGGTTTTTTTTTGTTGTTTTGTTTTTAACAGCTTTATTAAAGCAGAATTTAACATCATAAAATAGAAGGTCTAGAAAAATGAGGGACTTACTTGTCTTGATAATCCTTAATGCACAGTCTCAAATGGTATCAAGGTGACTCCTTAATAAACTCTCGTTACATGACATGGTGATCAAGCAGAAGAACTCTCTGACTTGTAGCCTGTCACCTACCTACATTTATAATTCTGTACAACCATTTCTATCAGTGTCCATCCATGTGCTATCCATGTAGTAGGTGTCTCATAAACATCCACTTGATGAACTCATACTGCAAGCAGCTGTAATATTTGGTAACCACAGATGAATGTTTAACACATGTTTTTTTGAACACAAGTCTAAGAGAACAGAATGTGGGATCCTGAATTAAGACAAAAATCCTAGATTCCAGTATTTTTCCATCTCCCTTGGCTATGGCAGCAGAAACCAATTCTAAACCATGCTTGTTCCCGTGTTACCATATCAGATGCCAGCTTCCCTAATTCATAGGGAAAGAACCTAAAACTGGGGTACAGAGAGGTGAAATGGCCTTATGATTCCTCATGAACTCATGAGTAAAAAAAGCAACCATCAATTTGTTTTACAAGTTTGTCCCCAAAACAACATTAGCGGGTACACATCACAGCACATAACAGAACGGTAACAAAAACCAGAAAAAGACCGAAATCATCTATTAAAAGCAAAGATAAAGAACCAGGAACGAGGCTGATCTACAAAAAGCCATTCCAAGAAGTTCTGCTCATCCTCTGAAGTTGGCCAGAAATTAGATTCTAAGCTTTTTCACAGTCATCTGAAAGAGGAAAATGTGATCAGCTCCTAAATTCCCCACATCTGTTAAAGGAGGGAGAAGGAGTGGGAAGGGGAGGAAAGAAGGAAAAAAAGGAAGGGAAGGAAAGGAGGGGGGAAAGGAAGCAGTCACAGCACTAGTCAAAAAGGGAAAGCCTT